TTTATAAAGAAAACTTGATTCAAAGAATGCTGTCCTATTTTCATGTCACTACTGAATTTCTAAAATGAAATATATAGGAAGTTCTGTCTTGTTTTTGTTTACTGTATGAGTGTCATATTGTGCTGCATCTGAGAATATATAGTACAAAAAAATGGCACCATTATATGAAACTCAAGGCCTCACAGCAGCCTGAAAGTGTTGGATTAAAACAGTCAGTCTGCACTTTAACAGCTGTTGTGTTATTTCTAGTTCGAAAGCTGGTTTATAGAAACAAAACAACAAAAGTATCACCGTCCACTTTAGACGCTGAAAATAATTCACAAAAATGATCAGTATTAATAGATTTTCTCTACTGTGATTTAACCAAAATGTGCAATTACAGACACTAATTTGCTTTGAGTATAAAGCATTTCTTATATATTTCCATTTCCTTGTGTCTGTAGAGTCGCTTCCAGAGTGAAAGTGGATACAGAGATGGAAGAGGACCTTAGTGAGACCCTGTCAAAACATCCCACCTTCTCTTGGAATCAAATAGGTCTGTATGTGTGTCTGTATGCCATGCATTTAGAACTGATTAACCCCTGAGCCCACCTTAATAAATTTAAGTTACCATATCACAGAAAACCAATTTTTATTTTTTATTTTAAATAAAAGAAGTTTGATGTAGTATGTAAACATTGCTAACATCACTCTCCAGACCATACAGTCTATAAACGACAAATAAGCTGCATGTCACAAAAAATAAACAACTCATTTATGTACATTCGCCTAATCAGCCTATAGCAGTTTAGCCCCACCACTCACACTGAAGTTATAAGGAGTGTTTCAGTCCAGGCTAATTTCAGTACTAATATATATTTAAACCTAATTTTGGAAATATTAATTTATCAAATCACATTAGTTTCTGTTATTTTTTAGTCAGTGATCTAATAACAGCTTTATTACCAGGTTTTACAGGGCCCTTTGAGCCAGTTTGGGTCAGTTACAGACGTTATTTTGTTGGATTTAACATAATGTGATTCAGGCTTATCTTGGGTTCAGACTTCAAGCTTGGTGCTGTGAGTCACGCTTGGACATTTTCTGGACTTTAGTTGAGTTCAGCCCAAAATTTCAAGTCCATTTAAAGCTCTAATGGCGTTTATAGTGGAAAGATTTGCTTCTTATCCAGTTAATATTTATTATTTAGTAACTACTGTTCATTATTTGATACTATCAAAGTTATATATATATTATATAGTTATGAGATCTTTCCTGTTTCATGTTGTGGTCAGCATAGTGGTCATCTGTGGCCTTAGCTGTGTGATGCAGTGCAGTACACTGGTTTTATACTGTGAGTACTTATATTACAGCAGATGATTACTGCACGGAGAACTGCAGAACCTTCTGAATATGAATTCTCCTCTTCTGTTTTTTTCCCCTCCCTTTTTAAAATTTGTTCGAGTCGGCTGCCTTTTCTCAAGTTCAATTGTGCTTAACTAGTCATCCTAAAACATGAATGTTTTATTCTTTTCAAGTCCACATAATAATTAAACTTTTTTTTTGTTCAAATACATATTTATTGGACAGCACTGACTGCAGGCTATTACAGACATTTGCATCAGCGTTCTAATACGCGCATAATCTTGAATGTTAATGACAGCGGCAATCATAATTTAGCATGAAGAAGCTACAGCGAAGGCTAAAACCCCTCCACCGCCTCCCGGAGAGATGAACAGCGCGCACACACACGCGCGCACACACACCTTCCTGTGTGTGTTTCTGTATACACTGTGTTTGTGTGCATACACACAAAAGCATATATGCAGTATTAGAATGAACACGTGTCAACAGAGATGCACACGCATACACACACCTGACTCTGTTGACCAGGTCATTCTGAGTGAGTTAGTGTTGGTTTAGAGCTCTCAGACCTGCCAAGCCACGATTTAAAGGGCCCATAGACTTGGAAACCAACATTTCTCCACATTTCTGAAATAAAAGAATTTGATTCAGTCAAGGTTAAAACTTCAAAGCATGGGCTCCTCAGTCTATACTGTCCATATATGGAAACCAAGCTGCACAAACAGCCTCTTTTCAATTTCATGTTTTTGTGATGTCACAAAAAACAACTCAATTGCATGTATCTGCCTATTCGCCCACGCAGTTTAGCCCCTCCCATTCAGGCTGAAGTTATAAGGAGCCTGGGCTTCTTTTTGAACATGGCTTAATACAAGGCAGCCGATCAGAATATAGGTCATTTACATACATCAGTCTTAAAGGCACATCAACAAAAAAACGGCCGGTTTAGTTCTAAATACACCGGTCAGCCATAACATTACAACCACCTCCTTGTTTCTACACTCATTGTCCATTCTATCAGCGCCACTGACCATATAGGAGCACTTTGCAGTTCAGTGATGTTGGTTGAGCATCACATGTCTTTGAAGAAGCTTGTGCTAGCCTTCACCCTCCCAGCCTGGTAGTGTCCTGTGATAGGAGAGGCCTGCTGGTGTGTGGGATTTGGAAATGTCTAAATTTAAATTTGGGGAGATAATTGGGTCCAAAAAACCTTTTTGCTTACTTCCCTCAGGTTTTCCGGTTTTCTTGGATATCAGTCTGAGAAACCTCCACCCACATCATTGTCACAGAATTGCCACTGATTCCTCCTTCTGGAAAATGAGTCCCACACCTGAGCTTAATTTACAAACACCTGACTGACGGATTTGCGTAAACACTTACTGACGGAATTCTGAAGCTGCTCATTGGCTGCTGTTATACCAGAAAACACATCAGATTTATTGTCTGTGGTGATCGACTGTGTGTTACAGATCCAGCTGAAAAACACTGGAGTATTTCTTTAAATAAGGGCCTGTAAATGTCTACATTCTTTTTGTTCCCTGTGTACACGACACTGCAAAAACGGTTTATTTTCAAATAATATTATTTGATTTATTATTTTATTATTTATACATATTTTCAAATGGTATCTTGAATTTAGGTTCATACACCTAATATTTATCATTTTGACAGTTGTTAGCTTATTACAGGACCAATTATCTTGTATCATTTTTAACTTGTTTTATGTGATTTTAGTAAGTTAAATTCTGTCACTATATTGGCAAATATTATTTGTTTCACATTTTCAACATGAGAAAAATTATATCGCTGTTGTCGGAAGAAAACCTCGTATCTCCATTTTTGGCGTTTTTCAGTTTTTGACATAATTTGAAAATACCCGTTACCCTTTACGTGTAAATTTCATGAAGAATGGACCAAAAGAAACGGCCCAAAATGACATGGAAAAAGTCTGGTTCCATTGACTTACATTAAAAGTAAAGTAGGTTTATTCCCTCTCCTGTAAAGTTACCATTTTGGGGATACGAGGTTTTCTTCTGTGAACAGCGAAATATATCAAATAGATTTAGAATACTTTCACTTTTTCGCAGTGTATAACGAACTCTTCAAGCTGGCAGTAAAAGCATGTGTTGATATTTCTTTTTTTCTCTTCCGCAGACGTCAGTCATGCCAGCCGTGAGGATCAGGTAATGTTTGTTTTTTTGCACACTTTTCATTCGGTGTGTGTTGTCTTGTGGGTTGTGCAAATAATGTTAGTTTTGAAAGCCTTTGTTCTTATCTGAATACTGATGACATCAGAGCTCTGGAAGCAGAGCAATTAGGTGCTGGCAGACTTCAAGTTAAAAAAAGTGTTTAAAAATTGCATTGAAATGGCTAAAATATCTGTTCCCTAATGTATCACACATTGATGTTTTTACCAGACCAATTCAATACTTATTTTTAGCCAGTATATAAACATTGCAAAAATACACTGAAAAATATTTGAAATAATTGTGCGAACGTAGTTGATTTTAGCTCCAAGTATGTGTTATGCAGATCGTGTTTAGACTAAACCTAAAAAATGTCAAAAATGATTCACTTCTGTTTACTTATATATAAATAAGTATCTGTATTGTTCTGTGTGTGTTTTTTTATTATTATTTAAAGACGAAATACTTTACATTGCATCCATATCTTGGGATGTTTCGAGACAGATGTCCCAGATAAACTCTTTATTTTCTCTGTTCTCTTGCAGGTGTCAGAAAATACCGGAAAACTCAAGGTTATTCATTTAGGCCTAGTATGAAGACTTAATACTGCGATGTTTTTATGCATCATCACTGTCGTAACAAAACCTCTCATCTCTGTGAATGCCTGTGTCTTATATCTGTTCTACTCTTCAACAGTTAAAAGTATATATTCATGTGGATGTTTAAGCGTTCAGCACAGACTGCACTACATTACTAAAAGTGAGGGGGTTCCCCAAGGCTTCATATTAGGGCCTCTCTTTTTCTATATAAAACAGAACTGAACAGACTTCTGTCATTTTACAATTTATCATAACATCACAAAACCTCATATCTCCAAAATGGAAACTTTTAGGACTAAGAAAAAACATTCTTAACTTTAAAGTGTATTAATGTAACTTAGAGCGATGAAATGTGTTTAATTAGTCCTGTTGAACATTATCAGCTTCATAATTATAGATCTCTCAGGAATTCATCTACTGTTTAATCAGTGTTAGAGTGGCCAAAAAATCACCTTTAAATATTTGTGTAACTTTATATAAACTAATATATGCAAATTATTTTTGTTTACTGTTCATTTCACATACTTGTACAGATTCTGCCTTTGTGATGCCTGTGCAATGGTCGGAAGGGTCTGAGAATTATATATAAAGCCTTTTATCTGGAAGGTAAATGCTTATTTGTTTAAAAAAAAGCACTACATTAGAATAAGTACAAGTAAAGACATAAACAGTCTAAGGGTAGTTAAATCTCTCTTTGTGGAACTCCAGTATTTACAGTTACTACCTAGTTTACTGCCTAGTTTGTCTGATCAGTCCTTCACTAAAGAGCCCCACTTATAACATTATAACATTTACCAAAAATAGTTTATTTTTACAGTATCATTCTCCAACCTCTCTTTATCCCTTAGTATCAAACAGGCTGTTTCTGTTGCTGCCCCTTTAAGACTGAAATATGTAAATGAGCTCTGTACTGATTGGCTGAATCATACAGAAAGCAGTCCAGGCTGAAATGTTCCCTGTAAGTTCAGCATGAATAGGTGAGGTGAAACTGCTGTAAGCTGAATTTGTTGGTTTTTGTGATGCCATAAAAGCACTGAAAAACAGGCTGTTGTTAGAGCTTAGTTTCCATATATGGACTGTATGGACTGGAGAGTGAATAGTATGTTATGAAACTTTATCAGTGTTTACATACTACTACTGCACTGTTATTAACTCTTGTGTGGTGTTGATGGTCTGGTGGACCCACAGCATTATTGTTTTTTAAATCAATACAGCCATAACAATTTATGTAAAAATACCAGATGTTTAAAATATCACAAGTGGTCAGCGTAGGGTTCTCCTTTAGCAGCTGTAGCCAGTCAGCAGCCTGTCAATGTTGTTCACCCTCACACACACACACACATACACACGCACACACTAACAGCAGGCCATGTAGGAGGAGAAAAGAGTGAAGGGACACAGCACCTCCACACTTTTACCCCCCGCAGGTTCACCCAACACCACGTGTAATATAAATGTGTGGGGGGTGAACAGAGTGAAGACACTGAAAATGTGTTCTTTTATATGTTCTTCACAGAAAATGAGCAAAGACCAAGAAATCTGAGGCTGAAATAAAAATAAATCGCATCATTTTTTCTTTTGGTGATTATTGAAAATGGGTCCCACAGACCTGAACACCACACAAAACAAGGAAAATTCAGTTTAGCATGATATGGGCCCTTTAAATTAAATCAGGCGCTGCTGATGGAATCGTACAAATATCTGCGATGGCTGGAGAGCAGCTAGACATCAGGACGTTCTTCAAAACTGCATACTTAAGACATTATATATTCATAAGAATACATATGGTACATGTTTAAGAACTTTACTGAGAACAAAACATTCTGCTTATGTTCCAATGCATCTATGTTTTCTTGTATTTATTATAATGTTATAGTGTTTACTGCCCAGATAAATCGTTTCAAACAATTTTCATGGCTGCCAAAAACTTTTGCACAGCACTGTATATTTTAATTCAGTGCCACTAGAATTTCTCACAAATGTCCAAAGGCTTTCAGAAGGTGCTGGACATAAAATGAGACCAACATTTCCTTTTGTTTTTTTAGTATAGTTATTTCTAAACTGACCATCTTTGCACGTATGTATTCTCTTTCCTTCTGAGCTGATTTCAGACATTTAGGCTACAGCACCCGGATCATTCCATGAAAAGAGTCCATAATATTCGACGCACTGTATTAGAGACAGAAATCTGCTGTTGATTCGACAGAATAAAAATTTAATTTCATCATTAACATAGTATATGATTTTTTTTAATGCAAGTGGAATTTTTTTTTATTTATATTTTTATGAATGCAGGCATTTTCGCTGTATAGTGTAGTACTGTGTACACAGTCATTTAAGTTCCATCTGAAATATTACTAAATAAAAATTGTATTATAATCTTTGCCATGCTCAGACGTGTATCTGCTTGAAACAATAATTTTAGATCTGATTGTCATTTATCTGCGTCCTTGAGTTTTGTTTTCCTTCCTGTCACTGTAATTTATTTAACCATTAAAAAGGTAACATTGCCCATGATGAGTAAATAACATTTTTTAAAGTGGAATTCTGATTTTAATGTCTGCCTATCAGTCATTGAGCTCATTATAGAGAAACTAAAGGTTTTTACAGTGGTGCTGATAGGAACCAGGGGTCACCATGACTACAACACAAATACAGACATTTTATGTACTATCCAAAACCACCACTACGTCTATGTCTAATATGTGATGTTGATGATGGTAAAAAAGTCAAAAATCTGAAATAAGTTTTGTTTTGGGGACTATTTTGTCTTGTGTGTACCTCTCTGACATGAACTGATTTAAAAAGTACATTCTAAGCCAAAACCTTCTTGAAGCGGTTGTAAAAACAGTGTATCCATTAGCGTGTCTCATAGATGACGCACATCAGAATTTAAAGTCCAGTTATTTGTTTTAAACAGTAAAAGAGTGAGTCTCCCTGTGTGTGTGAAGAGAGAGAGAGTGCAGGAGGTACAGGCCGGTGTTCTTGTCAGTGATTGTAGAGTGGCGTGATGTGGCCTGTGTAGTAGACGGTCGGGTTTTATTCTTGCTGTGTTTGGTGTGTGTGTGTGTGAGAGAGAGAGCGAGAGAGAGAGAGAGAGAGAGAGAGAGAGAGAGAGAGAGAGATTACATGCAGGAGTTATAAAGCAAAGGCAGCGCGTCGTCGTCTTCCTCTTTAAAGAGGACGCCGGCGTTTCTGCCCATAATGCCGTGCGGCAGCGCCCGTGTCAGAGCTGTCGCTGCTCCGCTTTTCCCCCAAAACTTAATCTGACGGCACCCAGCCACCCATAATCCCCCACTGTATCGTAATCAGTTTACTCTGCATTCTAAGAGGATTTTCTTTAAGAAAAAAAGGAAAAAAAAACACAAGAAGTGACGCTGGAAACGGACGCGGAGTCGGTGAGAGGGCCCCTTTTCGGCGGTGCCGTTGTGGTTTTGTTCATTTTTAAAGGTTTCTTTAAGTGAAATCGGTTTATGGTGCTTTTTACCGTTTAATTCTCGGAACTGAAAAGCACAGAATGTATTCCGTGGTTTACTTGGTAACATAAGTACATTAACGTTGGTCTGTATGCAAACGTGGCTTTCCGATACGTAACCGTGCACATTTGGGCATTTTATGCACGAGGACGTTTTACGGAAGAGGTCACAGAGAGTTTGCAGCAGAAAGACTGCGAAAGCCTTACGAGCGTTCCAGATAAAGCTCACTGTTCGAGCTTCTTCAGTCAGAAATCAATTCACCTGCTCACATTCGTGTGCTGTTCGGCCATAAGTGCTTGAGGTGCTTTAACTAAGGTTGTTGTAATTGTGCTCCTCGTTAGGTTTATGGCTAGAAAATATGTCTCATATCTGTTCTGTTCTTCAAGAGGTTAAAGAATTCAGAGTTCAGCACAGACAGCATTACTGCGCTTGTAGAAATGAACCAAGTGGAACGAGCGGGGTTCCCCAAGGCTTCGTATTAAGGCCTCTTCTTTTTCCTCTGTAAAATCATATCAAGCAGACTTCAATGTCAAGGAATTTACTAACAAGCTTGCTGTCATCTGTCCGACAGCTGATGGACTCAACCGAGGTCAGTAAACATGAGCGCTGGGTGTAACGAGTGCTTTGTTTACAAACATGAAAAGAGGCCCCTTTAAACCAGATGGTTTAATAGACATTGCTGCAATGAAGCATAAGGGCCTCAGTCCACAGTGCCAATTACAATGAGATGCAGTCTGGTTTCCAAGCAGTCATAAATTTGGGGCACAGAAGAGGCATTTCTCACAAGTGCCTTAGACTCGTTTTATTAAGGGATGAATAAACACAAAAATTATGTGCGTAATTCTCATGCTGAGGTGCTTCTCAGTGGTGTTAGAATCTCCACTGTTTGCGTAGTTAAACGTTTTAGTTCCTGCAGTAGTTGCTTTCAAACCCCTTCAAATTCAGCTGTTGTAAAGCACATGTCAGATCTGGAGTTATTGTTCATGGGACAATGAGAGTTTGAAATATGAGACAACAGATAACAACCGGAGGGCAACGTTCAGGGCCGGAAAGACAAAACAAAACACAAATAAAGAAGGTAGGTAGGTTTCAGATTTCTTCACAGTTTGTATTATATTTATATCACGCAACATTTTGTTACTAAAATGCCTTTAAGGTACAGAATTTAGTATAAAAATATTTGCTCTGTCCAGCTTCTGGCAGACCAAATCAAACCATCTCAGGCCAACATTTGGCAGCCCTGGCATAGAACATTTCACTCTTAAAAAAAGATGGTTCCTCAAGGAAAGGGAATGGTGCTGTTTAGAACTATGAGTCCTATATAGAACCATTTCATGCTTAAATGTTTCTTTGCATGGGGAACCTTTTTGAAAATGGTTCTATAGCACCAAATCAGGGTTCTGCTATTGTTACAAGCTTGACATCGAACCACATACAACATTTTTCGCAAGTCTGAAGAACCATTTCACCATGCAAAGACCCATTTACGCATTCTGTACAGTTGAACACTTGAAGAACCATTTTGAAGAGTAATTTGTGTAGAATCTCCCTCTAAACCTAAGCTACTGATCTGAAACAGGATTCATTAGTACATTTGGGATTTGTTCTTGCTTGGAACTCTGCTGCTTGCAACTCAGCTCACCATCATCGCTGACCTCCTTCCATTCTTCATCTTCACCAGCCTTCTTTTAGACGGTGAAGGAAGCTTTGTAAGGTCAGCATGGACCAGTTAAATAATGCTGTTGGCTCTCGGAATGTCTTCCCATCACTCTTACTAGGTGCCCTCTCAAGCCATTTTCCCTCAGTTGGCTTTCACATGTTTAGATGCAGATCAAACAGCCCACACAGGACTTTTTTGGGCCAGCTCAGAAGAAACCAGCTCTGCTTGAGCCGAGCAGGTCAAAAGTTCAGCCAGCCAGGAGGTGCGACATCTCTTCAGGTAGAGAGGTGTGGCGTGGTCACCTGAGCCGAGAAAAATAAACTCACCAAACTGTTCTGGCTGCTGTAATTAGGGCTGTTAAGAGCCATTATGTCCGTGTGGCATCAGGTTGCACTGTGTTGTCAAGTAGGAATGCTGCAGTTTAACATTCATGGTGCCACCACATCACACTGACGTCTCCATGAACCTCTTCCAAGCTTTTTGAAGCACTAGCAAACTGGACAAATCGCAGGCCACATAAGGCTCTGCATTTTCAGCTGACCGCTTATTTTTGTAGCTACATTTTCTGCTGTGTGTCATGCGCTTGGCCACGTTTCTGACCACAAACTGTCCTTTCTAGGGGTCATAATGTAACTCCCCCCCTCCCGCTGTCAGGACTTAAACACAAATACTGCTGAAATAAATCCGTGCGGTGCTGTTTTTTTGCCCGTCCTCAGCACTTCCGAGCCACCGTGCAGCGCTCTCCATCATCCTCATCTTCCTCATCCTCATCTCAGCAAACCGCCTCCGCTCATCACGTCGCCGTATTCTCCCGTAAATGGTGTTGGCTGGTAATCTCTTTTAGAGTTTTCACACGTTATAATGTGCTCTAAGTAGGAGAAGGAGGCAGCTGTAGGAGACGCATCAGCACGGCCACAGCTGGAGATGAGAATGGCTTCCTCTTCTTCACCAAACAGGGAGAGCAAAATTCCTCTCTGCACCTGGAAAATACTTACAGGCATGTTGATGCACTGCAAGAAACTGTACTCATAGTTAAAACATATAGTATTTAGTTTTAATTGGAACTGAATGCACCAGCAGTGCCACGTTTAAAACCTCACTGTTTCACACACTGTGCTGCACAGTGAACAGGAATAATTACGCTGTTGTTCATTACGTTCATTATGCAGTTGTTCAATACTGACAACATCCACAACTTACACAACAGATCATGTAATTTATCACAATACGGATAGAATATTATGTTGGCCACCCCTAGTTGTAGCTGTTGTAAGTAAACCTGGTGTCTAATCAGTTTAAATTCCAGTAATATGAGTGATCACCACAAAACCCAGATTATAATGGAGAATATGCACTAGTAAAAGTGACTAATGCGCACATACATTCATGAATTAAATGTACTTCCACAGCTTTACACTAAAATCAGTCCTTGCTTATGCTTTAAAAAAAGGGGAATTCAACTGATTTTTAATATTTTATTTCTGCATAATCATCCCAATCACTGAGATGTTAAGTCATTCAGAGTGGCTAAACGGTTCATTGTAGAGACTCAGACTTCTTTACAGTGGTGGTGATAGGAACCAGGGGTCACCATGACTACAACACAAATAGCCTAATTTTATTTACAATCCAAACCACCAGTGAACCTACACTACAAAGCTGAAAAACAACTGTTGTTCGTGAAAACTGCCCCTGTGTTGTAAATATTTTCACTATTTAAGTTTTAGGCCAAAACAACTGCAAATCAGTGTCTCCGGTATCAGGCAGTGTATTTATAACCTGTTCAGGAAGCTGTTAAGCTCTTCAGACGTCTGGTTCCCATCAGCACCACTGAACAAATCTTGGTAACTTTCTCTAAAATGGTGCCAGCCACTCTGATCATAACTATTTAATTATGCAGAAAGTTTGATACATAAGCAGAATTCACCTTCAATAAAATCTTAACAGTCTTCAAAACAAACCGAGATTAGAATGATCTGAACTACAGGGAGGAATCAGAGCTGGAATTTTGTTTGTTTGTTTATTTTTAACTACAATGTGGTTCGCTCTCTCTCTCTCTCTCCCAGACTGGGCTGCTGGTTTGAACAGGAAATTAAAACATTTCGCTGCTGTTGGACCAAAACCTCGTATTTCCAAAATGGTAACTTTACAGGAGAAGGATAAAAACACACACTTTACTTACAATGGAAGTCAATGGAACCAGACGTTTTTCCAAGTAATTTTGGGCCGTTTGTTTTAGTCCATTCATCATGAAATTTACACACAATATAAAGAGCAACAGACATTTTCAAATTACGTCACAAACTGGAAAACAACAAAAATGGAGATGCGATGTTTTGTTCTGACAGCAGCGATTTGTTATTTTGTGCTGTTTTCCAACAGAAAAGCAGCGCAGGCTACTCAGCTCTGTCATTAGAGTCAGCGCGCACGCGCTCAGCGATGCTCCACCGAAACGGAGATGAACGCTGTTTAAGGTGAGACGCTGGTTACACGTGAAGCCTCAAAGTGTGTGAGGAGAGATGAGCGCGCGCGCGTGTACGGAGGGAAGGCTGGGTCCTCCTCAGACGGAGAGCGGGGCTGGTCCTGAGTTCGCGCTGCTGTTGGGATGAGGAGGGTGCGATAAGCGCCCATTAGGCTCGTGTGTAAATCCCTCCGAAATCACTGCGCTTTAGTCCCGTTTAATCTCCTCATTTCCCCCCAATCCAGCACAGAGACCCTCAGCGCGCGCTGCCTTTAACATCTTTTACTGTATGACCCGCCTGCGCGCGACACATTACACAACAGAGCGCGGATTAAAAACACTCAGCGCGAGGACGAACACGACCGACACCTCCTTAATAAATAACAACAAATAAACAAAATTTTAAAACCGGAATGGACAGTTGCGTTTAATGCGTGACGTCAGAAATATTAAAATTGTAATTCTACGATTATTATCCGATTACTGCGACTCATACATGCATATATGTGTATTTGAGTGCATGTATATATATAAATGGCTATACATACATATATGTTCATACATATATACACACACATTTTATATATATATATATATATATATATATATATATATACACACACACACACCCTCGTGCAGGTGCTCGCTGTGATAATTCCTTTATTAGCGATTAATTATTTAAATTATAGAAATGTTTGTGCCCCAAACCGCGCGCGAGCGGCAGCGCAAACATGTTTAATGTCCTCCTGAGTGAAATGTTTATTCAGCTGCTACATATTAATACATTTCCATATTAAACCCACAGCGGCGCGCGCTGCGTCTCTTCCCTAATTACCAACACACTCCGCTTTATTTTTTCCTTTTTTTTTAATAAAGTGACCAAATTGGAGAAAGTAAATGCTGAAAAGGTTTAAACTGCTGCAGGAATAAACTCAAACCTAAAATAATAATTACACACATAGACACGGTCATTTACTTGATACAGAATAAACCCAATCAGAATAAAGAGAAGTGAAAACATTTGTTTATTCATTTATATATTTATATTTGGGCTGATCGGGGTGAGTTTCACTGAAATTTTAAATTAAACTGATATCTGGAAGAAGCAGCTTTGAGTTACAGTGACGGATGTAACCATTTATTTATTTATTTATTTATTTAGTTAGTTAGTTAGTTAGTTAGTTAGTTCTTAAATTTTATCCGCGTTTTTAGCGCTTTTTAATTCCAGCTTTGCGGAGCTAGCCACCTTTTCCGCCCCGCTGCCCCCCCCTCACCGCTTTTGACCCATTAACCCTGGACACCCGCCCTCATAATTACCCAATCAGAAGCGGCCGTTTGGCTCCAGGGCGGATTTAGGAGAAACGGAGAAATGGAGGCAATTACGCATGCGCATTCAATTAGGGCTCCATCAAAAGCCTAATAAATGTTTCGGGGCTGTTTTGTCCAGCAGGATGTTAACTAATGGTTCTAAATACATGTGAGGAAAACTGGACTAGGGTCAGTGCTTTACTAATGGATTTGCAGACAAAAAAGAAAAAATACACATGAAACTAAATTAGATCAGAAATTAAATTGTAAAAATTGCTAAATTCCGCAATTGTTTTACTCTCTGAATTAAACGCTGACCCAATTACTCAGTGGACGGTGTGAGCGCGAGGAAGAGAGAGAGCGAGAGAGAGAGAAAGAGAGAGAGAGAACGTCCCAGCAGTTAACAGAGCCGTTATTTCGGACTTTCTCCCTAAAAAGAAAAGAGCGCATTAGAGAAACGCGCGTGTCCCCCCGGCCTGAGAGAGAAGACCCTCTAGAGCTGCTGTGTTACTCACTCTTCCAGCTTTAAAACGTGTCTTTGTAAATGAACGCTGATGGTGGGAGTAATCGATGGACCCCCCCCCCGCCCTCCACCTCCCACCCCTCCACACAGACGTGTAAAGAAGAAGCTGGTAGTTAACTGTTCTTTATTATGACGGACAGGAATGGAATGGCCTGCGCCTGAAATACATTCAACATTTCACTGGCGTTCTGGGAGAAAACAAGTCTTCACATCCCCATCCCTCCAACAACAAGCACCCAAAAGTCTGTCAAGTGCTGCCCACATCAGCGCTGAGCCTCCGTGAAGAAACCTCCAGAACTCCCGATCATCACCCAATTTTGTCGTTCATCGAATTTTGGTTGAAACTTCCGATTATTCGAATGAAATAATCATAGCCAAATTTACCTACTCTAAATTTACAGCTTTTTTTCTGACTTTGTTTTTTCCCCACGTGTTCTCCATATAAAAGTTTTCTTTTTTCTTTCTCCCAGGGTAACAAAACCGAAGTTATTGTTATTGATCAGCATATCAAATCGAGTCCAGCGGCCAAATTTCTGATTTTTTTTTCTTTTTTGATCTTTGGAATATTTGAGGGGAGGAAAAAAGAAAAAGGTTTACATAAAGTCGTCTCAAAGTCTTATTAAACCATTTTCAAATCCAGCAACACCAACTAAATATGGTCACTGTAACTGACCCAAATACATATGTACAAGATTCAGCTTGAAGCTGACTAAAAATCTCTCGCAACCTAAAAAACAAAATGAGCACTGAAGAAAAGGAAACGGCTGTAGGCTGTACAGGGGGGTAAAACCTGGTTGCTGAGGGTTCAGAGTCTGGTGATGAGGGGGAAAATAATAATATTAATAATGATAACCATAATAATAATCCAAAGATTTTGAGGGCATGTGGGTTAAAAAACACTTTAAAACCGTCCAGAATTCTGCATCTTCATCCCTTCATTGTAGAGAACTGGCTTTTTTGATTCTTGTCCACAGATCTGCTGGTTCTTTCTCTTGAGAATCTTGGGAGGGGCTTTCTTTTTTTTGTTTAGAAAAACATCTAACTATTTTGTTAAGTCCATATAACTTTTTTTAAAATCTTTTTAATAAACTCAGCACACTATTAAAAACAGAGAGGGGGAGTATGGAGTGGTTCGGTGGGGTGGAAAAAGGGTGAGGAAGAAAAGAAAACCACCAGAATAAGAAGAAGAAGAAGAAGAAGGAGAAGAAGTAGAAGTAGTAGGAGAAGAAGGAGAAGAAGATCACAAGACTTGGAACCTCCAGGACGCCTGGTCTTTGTAGTCCAAACAGTCCGTGGCGTTGAAGTTGATCTTCCAGGAGGAAGCCGTCTGCTCCTTGTAATCCAGGCAGTCGGAGGAGTTGAAGGTCAGCCCGGCGCCGCTGTAGGCCTGGTGGTGGTGGTGGTGATGGTGGTGGTGACCTGAAGACTGGCTGATGTGGTGGTGGGGGTGCGTGGACATGGATGACGGCGTCATGGGGCTAAGCTGATGGGGGTGGTGGGGGTGCGAGTGCATGGGGGTCAGGTAAGAGCCGCAGTCCACCCCGCTGAAGTAGGAGCTGGATGGGGTCGGGTAGCCTTGGCCGTAGCCCGCCGTCTGGTTGTAGGACATGGGGTAGGAAGAGCCAGCCGAGCCTGAGACCGACCGCTGCATGCAGGAGGTGTTGGAGGGCGGCATGGGGTCCGGGAGCGAGGCGGAGGGAGGGGCAGAACCAGGCGAAATGGCTGGGCTCCAGATGGATGACACGGTGCTGATGGAGGTAGATGTGCTGCTGATGCCCGTGTTGTTGTTGTTGTTGTTGGCGGTGGACGAGGAGGAGGAGGACGAGGAGCCCGTGCTGGACACGGCTGGAGGGGTGAACTGACCACTGCTCTCGGAGCCCGTGCTCTCCCGTGTGGGGGACGACTTCTTCTTGACCGGCCGAGCTTTGGTGCTGCTCCCTCCGCTCTGCTGCTGCTGCCTGCACTTGGCCCGACGGTTCTTAAACCACACCTGGAAAAAAAAATAACATGCGCAGGCGTTAAAACCAACCGAAACCAACATACTTCACTTCACTTCTTCCAGCACTTGGGAAAAACAAGCCCTCCAGAGCCTCCATTAAATGATTAAAGAGACCTTTCGTGCAATTCTGAAGGACAGGCTGGAGAGCTATTGTACATCAACAGTGCGCAGAATGACTAGTTATTGGCCGTTAGTCGCATTCATTTGCATGGAGCCTCTCTCTGTTCAGGCCTGTGGATCTCATTACAGCACATGGAGGTGGCAGGGAGATAGTAGGCTATTGAGTTTCTCACCAGAGATGGTAATTCAATAGCATGAGGAGGGTCCATCTAGAGCGTTTCGTTTCACATACGCACTCACTGGAGAGCAAATAAAACTAGCTCAGGAGAGAGGAACATGCTCTTCCTCAATATACACTCTAAAAAGAGAACCTACAGGGTTCAAACCGATAATATGTTGACATTAAGTATGTTAATTGTGGAACTTATTTACATAAAAATGGACAAAAATGAATGAAAGTGCATTTCAGTGAATGAAAACCAAAAAGAATTCCACTGCAATGAAACTGAAATATTTCAATACTTGTTCCAACAGCCGTTGAATTTTATATCGAGGTAAACAAAGTCCTGGTATACTGACTGGATAGAAATGTGTGGCATAATTAAATACACCAAGTAATTTTGATGTACAAACCCAAGTCCATAAATCATTAGTAATGACTAAGAAGCACGTCACCGCAAGAAGCACAACTGCACCCTTCAGTTTGAACCAGCACCAGCCCTCCGTCAGAGCGGCCAGTCTGCTTCCACACCAACAGGCCTTTAGGTATGTGGGATTTAGTGTTCACTCCCTGTCAAACATCAGACCCATCAGTAACTGGGTCAAGTCAGAAACCTCAAACAGGCCTCAAATGGGACAGTCTGATAGCTGAGGAACCTGAGAAGCTGCCTCCATATGTAAGCTAGCAAATCTACACAGCAAATCAGATAAATGCATCTCCAATGAAGCAGCGCTGACTGGACAAACCACAATACCGGCCCTTAATCACTGCGAAATAGTGCAGCTAGAGAACCGATAGAGGGCGCTGAGGAGCACTAGCACAAAACGCGCAAAGTTAGCGTGTGAACTAAGGACGCGCAGGGACTTGTGGGCTCGCGGGCCGCTGAATAAACGGTGTGGGAAGCGAAGAGTCGTTTGGTCAGCCATACCTGCACTCTGGACTCCGGCAGATTGATTTTTAGCGCCACTTCCTCCCGCATGAAGATGTCCGGGTAGCGCGTTTTTGCGAATAGCGCCTCCAGAACGTCCAGCTGCGAGCGCGTGAACGTCGTCCTCTCCCGCCGCTGCTTTCTGGGCGTGGCTGCTAAAAACAAACAGAAACCTTTAGATAAAGCACATCGAGAAATGACTGAATATTTGAGAGTAAGACAAATATGAAATAAAAGGAAATATTTAAAAATAGGTAATAAAAAAATTAATGAAATGTGTATTATACAGTCGATCAACAATTAACACGTTTTGTTGATTTGCTAAGTTAAAGTTAATACATGATCTAGAGAACACCCTTCAATACAGTATTAAATATATATATAATATAAATAACTAATACTGCATAATTTCTGATTATTTGCCGAGTTAACTTAAAAAACATAAATAAAAATTTTACATTTGCACAAGTCACACACCCGTGCAAAAAAAGCCCAAAACGGTAAAACATTAAGCTTTTAATTGTCATATAAAGTGTTGAACAAATATATAAAGCAAGTTACTATGGGAAATTTTTCATTTATATTTCTTTAAAGTGTTAAAGTTTGTAAGAGTGAGGTTTTCAGTTTTAAGTGAAATAAATGTGGACGTGTTGTGCTCAAAGAGAATATTTGGTCTCGCTATAGGGTGTGTGTGAACTCTCACCAGAGAAAATCATCAGTAAATACCATTATATTTTGAATATTATTCTTTTTGTTTGAACGGCAGTAAAAATTAACTTTGTGCGTTTTATTTATATTTATATATATATATATATATATATATATATATATATATATATATATATATATATATATATATATATATATATATATATATATATATACACACACACACACACACACACAAAGACTATACTATCACAACTATAGAGAGAAATTTATATACTATTTTTAATATATCATATAATAGACATACAAATATTTAGATATATAAATTTATTTTCTGCCGGACAAAAACACGAAGTCAGAATCGCACACATTTCAGTACAGAGCAGACAGAAAGACTGCTGTCTCACTCAAAGCACATCAGAGAGGAAACTCTTCCAAATGAATAAACTAATACAGATGTGCTTGTTTTTCCTCTGTTAAGTTACTTTCAGAGAAAACTCAGAAACAGACTAAGACTAAGGTAAAGCTGAGCTCAATCCGCTCCGCCTGGTCAGCTGCTGTGCGAAATAACAACTATAGTCATAAAATAAAATAATCTCTCCATTCTGAGTGTCCGGATAAACACGTCCACAGCGCGCGTGGAGAAATCAGTCAGATTGAGTAGATGCGCGTTAGTGGCTCGTCCAGGGCGCGTGTGCGTGTCTCTGGCTATAAGCGTCCTGATTAAAGTACAGGTCCGTGGTGAGCGCGCGTGAATACCTGGGTAGCCCACGGAGGGATGCAGCAGGTCCATGGCCGCCCCGCTCAGCCCCAGGCCGTTCATGGCGTAGGGGGGCTGTTTGAGGTAAGACATCATGCTAGAGGCAGTCCCGGGTCCCCCCAGATCTGACCAGCACGCTGATTTAGCCCGATGTTGCACTTTGACGGAGGACGGAGCCAAAATCAGGAGACTGAAACAGACAGAAGAGCTTCATCAGGACACTCAGCACGCAGGAGAACACAGAGACAGAGAGTCGCTCTGAAAGCCTGGAAACACGGAGAGCGCGAGACAACAAACTGACAAATCTGAAAAAAGTCCCAAACATTTCAGAACAGATTTAGATTATAGACTGTAAAGTGGAACAGAAACTGATTTGTAAGAATCTGGATGAATAAAAATGCTGATTTTGCTGATCTGAAGTATAATTTTTGATTTGCTTCAATTAAAGTATTAATTTAAATTTGGAAAAAAAAACCCAACAAAACCGTTGATTTTGTTTTAAAGATTGTTAACTATACTGTTAAAAAATTAACCCAATGTAGTTCAGGTCATCACACTTAGAACAATTTAGAGCATAATAATAATAATAGTAGTAATAATAATAATAATAATAATAATAATAATAATAATAATAATAATACTCATTCGAGACCTAAATTTTCTAATTTTTCATAATTTCAGATTTTGTTCGCTGCTCATAATTATACAATTCTATAATTCTTGAGGAATAAAAACCTGTAATTTTTCTAATTCTCAACTTATTTAGTCAGGCCAGCTGTTCATTATTGGGCTACTTTGCTAATAAAGCTGTTTTGGTCCAGTCCAGTCCGACGGCTTCAGTTCAGCTCAGCTCATATAAAATCTTCATTTTCAAATGTTTGAGTTTTTTTTATGTATTTGTTTCAATGTCTAATAAATTTATTCTCCAGTATAAAATAGGTGCTACAGTAAAGTGTGAGAATTCCTCAGGCCTCACTCACTTTAATGAAACAGTCCAATATTCAAAAGAGCAGTTATTACATTTTTTTAATTTAAATATTTTACTAAATTAAAATCCGAGCGGAAGAAAAAAGGAAAAAAAAGAATGATATGAAAAAAATCTGAAAACTGTGTGTGTATAGATTATATATATATATATATATATACACACATACACACACACACACACATATATACATACATATACACACACACATATATATATACACATGTGTACCAATGAAGTATGTTTCCCTCGTTATGCTAGTTCTTAAAAGAATTGCACACCTCACATAATTTTACGATCAAAATTTCATTCTTTAAGCAGGTTAACTATCAGATCTGAGCCATGTCCTGCTCTCGGGGGGCTTTCTGTGTATTGGGACCCCTTTTTTTCTTTAACTAGTTGTGGAGCTGTGTAAAGCCTGCTTTAAAAAGGCCACATCTTCGTGCAAATGAAGCCAATTCCAATGTAGATTAGAGCTCCGAGCGGCGGCCTTATCAGCCAAATAAATTAACAAAAAAACAACAAAACACGCCTCTCCAATTACCCTCCACTTCAGGGGTCCGTCAGGAGGAGCAATCCCACCCTAAAAAGAGTGATCGTCCTCTTCCCCCGAAATTAAAACCTAAAGCGGTCAAATTTCTCGCTTAATTTCATTTGATTACTGTTTGGCCTTTAGCTTCTCGAGAGCGACTCAGAGCTCAGTCTGTAAAGCTCAGACTGAAACATTCCTGATGAATAAGCGCGCTTACCTTAATCCGAGACTCTCCTCTACTCTCCTGCGCGAGGCCACCACACCGCAAAATATCCAACCAGTGAGAGAGAGAAAAAGAGGGAGAGAGAGACAGAGAGAAAGCAGGGAGGCTCCCAAACAAACAAACAAACAAGCCGCAAAACTTCTCCTGGAAAAGAGAGCCGCAGCTCTGCTCGAGCTGGTAGATTCGTCTGAACGCTGATCGTTTGTTTCCTCCGTATTTTTAAAAAAACTGAAAGCTGCAATGTTTTCTTTTTGTTTTTCTGGGGAAAATCAAGAAGTCATTTGCGTTTTCTCGCGCGCTCCTTCGCGTCAGTCACTGATTGCTAAATGTAGACGGATGGAGATTGATCACCTTCTCCTTTCAGCCCAGCCTCTCTAAGAGCGCAGGACACCTGCAGGTCCGCCCCCCGCAGCCAATCGGCGCACGCCTCCGGTCTGACTGGCGTCAGCGAGAGCCCATCGGCTGCGGGAGCAGCCTGCAAGCCCCGCCCTCTGCCTGCACCACGTGACTGGAGAGCAACACAAACCTGCAGCAGCGACACTTTAAAAAAAGGAAAAAAAGGTGAAAAATTCAGTATATCTGTGAGAATGTTAGAATGTGTGTATGTGCTGGAGCTGCTTTGGGACCCAATTTGACTTTTAAGTCCTGCACAAATGTGTCTTTAAAAGGGGCGCAGAAATATTTAAGTTTCACACTGTAAAAAAATGAGCGAGTAAACTTGCTAGGCGGCTACTGAAGGTCCTGCTGTTTGTTTTTTGGAGCCTTTAGCCTTTAATAAGAGAGTCCAGTGAGTTAAAGCGGGCCTGTAATGTGAAACTAAATTTAAACAACAAAACAAATCAAATGAACGTATTTTTTGTGATTTTAGCGCTGAAATAATTTTACATTTTTTTTCAGGCCCCTCAGACGCATCTGAGATGCCAACAGCTGCCCTTTTTTGAACGCAGGATAGTTTAAAGCTCACGCGATTCACCCACGTCCATCGATTCAACGCAGGATTAAAAAATGCATCAAAAAAGTTTAATTTATCCACTTTATCTATTTTCATTTTTATTGTAAGCCCGCCTCATGAATATTAATGGCTGGCTAATCCCCACTTAGAATTACATTTCAGAAGAGTCTGCGTAAAGTTTAATCGAGGCGGAGGGAAAAAATGTGAAAAGGGAGCGAAAAAAAATCTAGAGAATAAATGAAATCAGCGCCGAGAGAGAAAAAAATCAAAGGAAAATTTTAAAAAGCTCACTTTCCCCCGAAAAAAAACAGGAGAATATGAGGAGGGGGGCGCAGTGTTTCCTTAACTGTTCCTCTAAAGGGGGTCGCCGAGATGCTCCCAGTTTTTTTTCCTCCAGAAGGGCCTTCACTCCGGCCCCTTTTGTTCAGGGCCACAAAATAAAACTCATTCTAACGGAGGTCTGAGCTGAAAGCGAGCTAAATGTTCAAAGCAAGTGACCGCCTTAGGGACCAAATTACATTTTTTAACAACATGACCCAATCAAAAAGAGAAAGAGAAGGAGAAAAGAGGGGAGGGGAGAGCTTTACGCACAAGTCATCGCGCAAAAAAAGTGAGGAAAGAAAGTTTTTGCGTGATTTAAAATAAATTAAAAATAGCGACTAATTTTGAATTTTTTGTACCTGGTGCAACAGAAGTAAAGGCATTTATAGACGATAAACAAAGATAGAGGAATGAAGAGTGAAGCAAAAACAATATTCAAATGTAAAAGCTTAACTCCTAAATGACACTCCAAAGGAAAAATATGAGTATATCAAATTTATAAAATTTTAATGATCGTTAAAAATTGTGACTCGCAAAAAATTTACTTTATTACCGCAACTCACTTTTTCTGCTTTTTCTCCAACTCCTGGTGGAGCTGAGGATCTCCTGCGATGAAGCCAGAACACGCGGAGAGTTATCAAGTTGCGGGAGGAAGCTCCTCTTTCTTTTCTAATAAGAGTATTTTTGTCTAAATCCCAAATTGCGGGCGCATTTTCTTAACGCTGAGCTGGTAAATCTCTGGATTAGAGAAGCAGGAGAAGGAGGAGGAGGAGGAGGTGGAGAGGGAGGAGGAGGTGGAGGTGGAGGGGGGCGAAAAAAAAAGTTTTGTGTCTTTTAGCTGGCAGGATTGGAGCAGGTCGCGCGGATGTGGTCGGTGCTTATTAAAACGATGATGCATAAAAGTGGTGCGCGCTTAAGAGGCCGCCGAGCTTCAGACGGACACCTCGCGCTCCACAGTCCGGCTGATGGAGAGAACACCTGCGAAAAAAAAGAGAGGGAGAGAGAGAGGGAAAGAAAGAGAGAGAGAGAGAGAGAGAAGGAGGCCACGGACTTCAAAGCGGCTCCATCCACAGGAGGAGAAGAAGAGGAGGAGGAGGAGGAGGAAGAGAGGAGGAGGAGGAGGAGGAGGAGAAGAGGAGGCGCAGGGGTGCGCGCTGCGCGTTCCCGTTTCTGCCTGAGCGTCTCCAGCAGCGCTGCGCGTTTTAAACGTGTTTAAGAAAATGCGCTTTTTTTAAAAAAAGAAGTGAACTGAAGAAAACTTAAAATATTGAGCGCGTTTTTTACACGTTCAGATCGTGGTTGAGAATCGCCGCGGGCAAAATAAGAGCAGGAGATTCAGGTAAGGAATTTAAAACCTTTTTATATAAAGACTTTCTAAAAAAGAAAAAAAAAAATTAGTATATTTTTAGCGGCAAATATAAAAGCTGCTAAAACGAAAAACGCACTTTTTTCTTTTTAAATCATTTTCTGTATTATTTTCCGTTCGGGCAGAATCATTTGAGCACCCGAAACTACAGTTTAATTCGTTTATGATAGATTGAGCAAAAGTAAAATTTTCCTAGAATATTCCAGATCGATTTTATTAAATTGCGCAATTTGTTATATATTTATAATTCTTTAGCAAAAGTTCCAGACGCAGAAAAAAAAGTTTGCTCCGGTTGTGCTACGCGTCCTAGAAGGTAATGAGACTCAATGAGACACATTTTTACTCAGGTCACCGCAAACAGTCATAAATGATAATTGCGGAAAGAGGCGCAAAACAGATTTGCGCTTATTGCGTAGATGATGGTGGGTGTTCGAGGCACACAAACTGAAAGAAGGTGGTGATTTTAGCGTGGAAAGCGCAGCACGGCTTCTCTTCATCTTCATGGCCATTACACGGAGCTGCGTCCTCGGAGGACCAGTAATGACCAGTTAAAGGCGCAAACAAATGACCGTAGAGCGCGGTTTCCTTTCAGGAGATTACAGTCATCCAGCACAAGTGCGGAATAATAAGAGATAAAAAGTGCGTCCTGCAAGCAGGAGGAGGAGGGGGGTGTACAGTGGGAGCCGATGAGCAAATTAATTTGGGAGTATTAGAAAAGGCCAGAGAGGACGGGAGCTGTCCAAACTTATTTTCTGTGATAAATTTGGGGGGCTTTGGGGGGAGCACTGAGCCCCTTCAGTCCGAGCGAAAGCAGATGCTGTGGACAAACTGATTTGGCCTAATCTCCCTCCAAGGAGCGGCCAGTCGGCATCGAGCTCGCCACAAACCCCAACATAAAGCACAAATGCAAACGGTCATTTCCAAACAGGCAGGACGCGCAATGGGAATTGGGGAAAAGGCTCGCACAGTTTATGCGCTTTGCTGAGGACTGGCTCGTTTTGGGGGGAAAAATTCAATCGTTTTTGGGCAAAGTACACATCAAAGTAAAACTTCACACAACTTTTTTTTGTTGTTATTGTTGCACTGACTTTGTATGGGATACCCACCACTGCTGGACATTTTCAGAGTGAGAAAAAAAAATAACTAATAAAAAAAATGCAGAAAATGACAATTTTTGCAATGGTTCTTCCATATATATTTATATATTTATGTACGTGTGTGTGTGTGTATATATATATATACATATATACATATATATATATATATATGTACACACACACACACATATGTATATGTACGTATGAATGTGTGTATGTATATATATATATATATATATATATATATATATAAAATTAGCTCATTAAAAAAACAGGAGTTTGCATAAGAGTATGAAAGCGTCTGTTTTTATTGATGACTGGTAATTTTAGGAATAAATAAACAATGTTCACACAATAAGACAGCAGCACGAGATGTGAACCAGAGATGCATATGAAAGCATGTTTCTCTTTTTTTAAAGTATACAATAAATATTAACAAGGTCCTTGAGTTAATGTACATGGTTTGGAAGATGGTTACTTGCACGTCTCAAAGGACAAATGACAATAAATTATCTCAAACTGCTCTGGAAATAAGATTTTGCAAAGCCATTTTTTCTTCCTCAGTGAAATGAAATATACAACCTGACCATTCAGTCTTCAAAACAGTACTTAAAAGTACTGTGCATCCCCACCAAGCCATGTCTGAAATGTTTTGTAAACCACTCTCCAACAAATTAAAAAAGAAAAAAAAATAATGCAACATTCCCCTCTGGAGATATCCTATATATTTTAAAATTTTAAATGTAGCTGAATTAAAAGAGATATGATATACATTAAGTAATAAACATTGCTTGCAATAAAGGAAGATATGCTGACACTTGAGCTCCAAGTTGAAATGATTTTTTTTTTGAATGCAAAAGTTCCCTATAAAACAACATAGTGTACCTAAAAAGTTTTCAGTCATAATCTCCAATGGGAAATTACCACACATTCCCAAGGTTGAAGGCTATGTGCGCTTGAAACGTCATTGATTTAAAAGTCAGCATGTCCGGTGTGGTGCTTTCTCTCTTGGTCAGTATGTAGTTATTCATCTCAGAAAGCTTTCTGCTTGGTTATGCTTTTAGCACATTAAAGTACCTTGCTTACTAGCGCAACCGAAACCAAATGAAAAATAATGGTCTATTAGTGTTGGTGAAATGTAATCTCTCAGTATAAAGGAAAAACCCGAGGCACCGGCGAGAAAACTACCCACCAGTCTGGGTCTGAAAATGCTGACCAAAGTTTCATTTAAAGTTAATATTAATGTAATAAGTGTTTACACAATGCTCAGTATGATAGTAATACATTGCTTGAAACTGTAGTGAACACTCTTCTTTTCATCCTTAGTATTTTTAGTGAGTTTTTGTCACATCGGAATTGACGATCACTGAAGGACACATTTCTCTTCTTTCTTAGCCATCTTTCCTTTGTTCTGTTCCAGAGTCCTCTCCAGGTGCTCATCCTCCTCCTCCGCCCTGCAAATACGCACACACATACAGGGTCAAAGGTCAGACATGGACTCAAAGAAAAGCCACCTATAACAGGAACGACTATACTATGCCTCACCTTCATGCTGCTTCTGTCCTGCTTTTGTTGGAACTCTACATACTGTCTGTCCCTCGTTCTGAACCCTGACTGCATTCCCTGACAACGTTCCTGAGAAAAGTTTCTGAGCAAACTCCGGCCTCAAAAATCACACCTGGCAAAGTGGAGGACTAAGCTATTAAAGAAAGCCTTGCTGGAGGAGACAACGATGGACTTACTCTTTTTCCTGGGCATCGAGGTCTCGGACCAGTGCGTCACGCTTGTTGACCAGTATGACCAGCTCGTCCAGAAGGAGTTGCTCCCGTCGCTTCTGGGCCTCAGTTTTCTGCCAGTCTGAAAGCACAGTGAGAGACACTTCAGGACAAAAGTTCAGAAGAGGAACAGAGCAGCTGCCTAGCTAAAATGTATTTACCTGCTGACCCTACGTAGTTCATACTCCATAAGCTCCACAGACCTAAAGACAGCCATAATGGCTATACAAGAACAAAGAAGCTTCTGGACTGATAAGACAAACTGCCCACTGCGCTCAACATGAACTGCACTCTGGAAGTGACCATTTTTTGGTCAAGACTGAGAATACAGCAGTTGTAAAGCATCACTGCTGCAGTTCAGTGAGCTTCTGTCAGTCACTACCTCCATGGAGTTGATGCCACAGAGTGGAATTCACAAACATAAGAACATCTGATAAGAGGGGTAAAAATGAGGGCAGGGTACCAAGAGCACCCAGCAAATACCATTTATGGCAGTTTCCCAACACTTTAGAACACCTAGTCCACCCAACTCCTCGGATACAATCCCAAATGGATCGGGATCTCTCGGCACAATCCAAGATACAGAGCAGGGTCTTTTTGACGCAACTGGATTAAGCCAGAACCAGGACTCTTAAAGGGTCTGACTGGGCAATCCCTATTGCAGCCCACAAAATCCACAGAACTCTACAAGGTGTAGTTATATGAGGCACAAATGGTATGAACTTCACATAACTTAATTTGTGGACCGCAATAGGGATTGTCCGGTCATACACTTTAGGAGTCCTGTTTGTGGCTTAGTCTAGGTGGGTCAAAATGACCCTGTTTTGCATCTTAAATTGTGCCGAGAGATCCTAATTTGTTTGGGTCAGTTCTGAGGATTTGATCTGACTGTTACCAAGGTGTTCTGAAACTGCCCTAAAAGGTATAGGGTCTGTAAGTGACTGGTCTATCACTGTCATAGTCCACAAATTCTCACTTTGAGTTCACAGTGTTCATGCTTTTTCAACCGTTTGTATGTGTTGAGTCTACAAATACTACTGCCAAAGTGTATGCGTGAGTGTACACGAGATGACCTGGCCAGGTAGGCCGGCCTGTTGGTCTGAAATATCAGCCTGGCTAACATGATCAGCCATTACTGATACCAGCGGAGATTAGGCCGTGCTCACAGCCAACGAGACGTTAACTTTACCAGGCCTATTCTTTCGTCCTGTGTAAGAACACACTGTGCCGGTAGTGTCTGCATGCTGCTTTCACACACTTCAGAGAAACCAAAAAGAAGAAAAAAAAGAGACAAGCCTAACCCTGACAAAAGCAAAGTCCTTACGCTGCTTAGCCCTCTCCCACTAACCTGCTAACTCACAACAGTGTATCAATATTTGACCACGATTGATTCCTGCAAAAAAAAATAAAAAAGGGGGCGGCAGAGATAAAACAGACGTTTGGCCCATTCCCCCGTAAAATGTCAATCCTTAAAATAAGTGTACTTTATTAAAAATAAATATTTCTTCTGTGGTGGTGTGAAATTGCGGCAGTGGGGCGGTGCGTGTGTGTCCCGCTGTGAGCCGGGGTGGGTCCTGAAAGGTCTCCTCCGCTGCCTCATTTAGCCTTTGAAGTGAAGCACACAGGCGAAATGAACACAGTTCCAATATTTGGCAAGTTATTCGGCCCTCCAGCACCAAAGGAAACAACTCCGCTCCTTCAGTCTTTAGCCTCATCAAAAGGCTGATGTTTCACATATTTTTAAAGGATTCCTCTCTTTAAAAAGTCTTTTTGAAGAATAAAAAGTGAGGTGGAATGGTAAAAAACTTCAGGAATTTAGAAACAAAAAGAACATCCTAATTTATGGTCTGTTTTTGAGTGTTTACTTCTTGTATTTTTCTAAGAGTAAAGAGTAAAAATGTTTTTATCATATTAAAATCTCACTGTGCTGCTTTTTCATTCAGTTGTAGCTCTTTCCCACTAGATATGTTGTCTCAAATCCCATTTCCACTGGTTTTTCCTTTTTCCCCCGTTTAATTCACTCTGTTGTTCATCAACCCCTCCACCATTAGAAGAAGGAGGGGAAAAAAAAACAAAACAATGCCCACTTCACAATGGAGAGTGGGCTACGGCCAACAAAAACTTTTCCTCTTGCATGTTGCAGAGCGGTAGAGTGGCAAGCAAACAGAGAGAGAGAGAGAGAGAGAGAGAGAGAGTGAGAGAGACCCTCGATTTACTCTCACCTCCGTTTCCCCCTCCGACACTCTCGGCCAAAAAGCCAAAGACGCTCCCTGAAGGGCGCAGCAGAAGGCAGCATGCAGCTGTCAATCAAACCCTGGAGCGGCCCGCCCCCCTCATTAAGAAGGTAAACAATAAAGAAGGACGATGAGAGACATGGGCGAGCAAACAAGCGGAGAAACCCCCCTCTCTCAACTCCCTCTTCCCACCAAAATCCACCCCATCCCACCTCAACCACCTTCCTAACCCCAACCACCCCCACCTTAAAATCATCATAGCCACTCACGGAAGCTACTACCACACCCCCCTCCTAAAAAAAAAAGAAAAAAATAGGGAGGGGAAAAGAAGAGCGGGCAGGAAAACGAGCGGGGAGGGGGGTGCAATCCTTTTTGGATTACTCCTCTCCCTCTCTCTCCATTGCCCTGGGCAATCACGTCAAAACTCACATGGTCGGTGCTTATTCAGATAACCCTAACAATGCGCACCAATGGTAACCATGTGAGCCCTCAGAAGCTACACAAGAATGCACTGGTTCAAATCCCCATGACCCTCCCTCTCCAAAGCAAAATTTATTCAAGAGTGCAAAACTGCTCAGCAGCTTTCTAAGCGAGAGAGCGCTTCTTTCCGAGACTTTTCTCGCTTTAATATTTCCCCCAAATTTAACAACTGAGATACGACTTCCACTTTTTCATTCGTCCTGTTTTAGCGTGCGAGCGCACAAGAAGAAACTTTTCGCTGGGTGGGAGGTGGTGGAGGGGGAGGCCGCTGGGAGCTTTTTATATCATTTTTTTCTTCTCTTTCTCTCAAAGAAAACTATTTTCTTTACTGAAAACAGGAAATGAGTAAGGTTGGAGGAACCCGGAGAAAAATACGTGATCTTATTACAGAAGATTTGCGCCGTGGCTGGCTTTGAGTGGCAGCGTAAGATGGCGTTGGAGAGAGGCCAACTGGGGCTGAAGACAAAGCCTAACATGGCGCCTTGAGAGGAGAAGTTGACAGGAAAATGGTCCACAGCGTTGCACCTTCATTTACCAGAAAAGTACAGGGCTGAACCTGAATGCACAGCAAAAAGTTTAGCCAGAGAAAAAAAAAAACACCAACTCACTTGGAAAACTCAAGAGGCCAATAAAAACTTTTGCTTATGTTGTTGTGATTGGTCTTATTGTGTTTATAACAATATGCTTAAGCTTAAGGCAGAAGCCAAAAACAGGCCTACAGTCCACTTTGAAAGACAACAACTTAAATGGAAGGTTTATTCAGTTAGGGCCCACAATTAGGGTCTAAAAGTCTCTTGTATTTTTCACCCTGAAGTCCACTTCTTCGGGCGGTTTTATGTTCCAAAAACAGTCATAATTCGTTCTAATATTAAATTTCCAACCTCTCTTTATCCCTCAGAATTAAACAGGCCTTTAAGACTGTTGTTTGTCAATGAGTTCTACTGGCTATCCTAAAAAAGCAGTCTGGGCTGAAACACTCCTTATAACTTCAGTGAGAATGGGTGGGGCTAAACTGCTCTAGGCTGAATAGGAGGATATATGTAGTATGAGTTGTTTTTTCATGACATTATAAAACAGGGCTGTTTTTATATTTTGAAATTTTGAAAAATTCTTATTTCAAACATGCTGAACAGATTTTATTTTGCATGATCTGGGCTGACTTACAGTCAAAAAGTAAAAAAGCAAGTCCAAAAAATGCATCCACACTGTTTGTATCATGATTGACGTCCTTGTAGTCGTACCTATAGGATATCTAAGCCCACACTATACATTACTTTAGGAACAAAGCCACATCGGCAGAAAAAAGCTAGCCACACAAAGGGGCAAACTGACGAGAAAAGCCCCAAATCAACAAGCGGCATTAGTGCGTTCACCAGGCTGCTACAGCACACGGCTAAAACGCTGACAAAGAGCAGCTCGGGAAGGGAAAGCGTGGGCCTTTTGAAACCAGATCCTGGCAGCACTTTAGTGAAGACTGCAGCAGGGGGAAAAACTTCCTGCATTTCACCAAATCTACTAGTGCAGAGACCTTAGCGAAGGGAGGGGAAAAAAAACAAAAAAAAACATGCTACATAATCATGCGTGAGATCAACAACTGTTCCTTCATATGGTGCTTAATTTAGATTGAACCACTTCAATTTGCAACATCTGGGCTGTGCTGTGGATGTAAAAAAAAATAATGCTATAAATATAATACTATAATATATACACTAGAAAATAAGAATGTATACAGCAGCGTTGAAGATGAAGCAAAGAATTTAGTTAAACACTAAATGGGCGTGACAGAAAAAGCCCCTATAAATATACACGCGGCTGAAAATGTCCATTCTGCTGGAGAGTATAAAATTCACCCCTGAAAAAGAAAACGCCTGAACCTTTACAAACAGCCCTGAAATCTAGACCGAAATGGAAATAAACAGAGATTTTTTTCTTGTGAATAACACAAAAAAGGAGGAATTGTCACCCGGTCTTATCTGCAGTTCCAGTCAACTAGCAATCTTGAAAGAGTTTGCAACATCATCAAAGCTGGCCATTTGACAGGATTCTAGCACTGCACCTAATCAATCCGAGGAATACGCCGGTCCAGCCGGGTAACAAAGCTCAAATAGATTTACAAATGGGGTTGTTGGGGGGATAAGCTCCTGCACAGGATTACATATTGATTTTAAACATATAAAAAAGCTTATCATATAAAACCGTAACAACAAAAAATAGGGGACCTATGCATAAATCCCTTTAAGAGAGGCGCGTCCACTTTCAAATAACACGCCCCGGAGTGCACCAAGTCTGAACTGAGAAAGAGATGGAGAGAAGGGAGGGGAGAAACGCGAGAAAGAAGAGAGAGAGTGTGTGTGTGTGTGTGTGTGTG